AATATTATTTACTAATTCATTTAGCAGTCACTGAATATCTACTGGGCCTCTGTCATGTGCCAATGGCTGTTCTGAATGAATAAGATAGACAAAAATCCCTGACTTCTTGACAATAAACAAACTACAACAACAAATATAAATGTCATAGAATATTATAAGGTAATACCTCTGTGGAATAAACAAGAGAGGCAAGGTGAACCAGAAAAATCAGGGGGCACCATCTTAAGTAGGGAAGTCACAACAGACCTCACTGAAAAGTTGATTCTCAGAAAAAGGATAAAATGACAATGAAGTCGGAGGCATAAACAAGGAAAGCGACAAATGTAATGAGAAAAGTTGAGGGCATTTTGATCATGACCTTGTAGACCAAGGAAGGGCTTTGCTATGACTTCAACAGGGGGCTGTCAAAAGGCTCCGAGCAGAGCCACACTATCATCTGATGCATATGTGACGGGGGCTAGTAAAGGTGGCTGCAGAGACCGTGTAGGTGTGGTCTTCTTGAGCAGGGAGAGTGACACTTTATCTACAGGAGTGGCAGTTCTAGTGATTAGAAATGGTCAGGTTCTGAATAGATTTTGAAGGCAGATTCAATGTGGAGTAAAAAAGAGTCAAGAAGACACCCATGGTTTTTGGTCTGAACAGCTGGGAGTCACAACTGCATTTACTGAGATGTGTGTGTAAGAATTATGTCATATATCTCATGGTGATCCCAGTAGAATAGATACCTGGGGATTCTGGGATTGAGTGTAAGGTCTCCTCCACTTGCTGGGAAAAACCTTTTGAAACAAACCAGCTTCCAGTTGTTTCATGACAAATAAAAACCAAAAAGATTAAGGTTTTCACAAGCATTTTTAAAAAGTTTACCTTTTTATGTCTTCCATGAGCAAGAGGGGCCGAGAGGCAGAAACAACACCCCCAACTGTGTCTTGACCCTGCAATCCACTGCCAGCCTCATCCAGCCTGGATCATGGGCACACACATGCCCAGCACACTCAGAGAAGTCTCCAGATGTGAACCCAGAACCTTCCCATGTGTGTTGGTTTCACAGAGTGTCATGTTTTACCCTACATTGCCATCTGACTCCCACAGCACTTTTATAAAGCTCAAATTAACAGTTTAAAAATGAAACTAACAAGGGCCAGCAGGTGGCGTGGTGGTTGAGGTGCTAGATTCCCACATGGTTGATCATGGTTTGAGTCCCGGACCTGGTGGCTTGCTTTCCACTTTCTCTCTTTTTCTCTCTCTGTCTCTCTCTAGTGAGTGCACATGCTCTATAGCAAATGAACTAATAATAACAGTAAATGAAGTTAATAAATTCTTTAAAAACAAACAAAAAGCATTAAGAAAGGCAGTCCGTTTCTTGGTTTCTTCAATGCCAAACAGTTCATTTAGTTTTCCAGTGTTTTGTTCACCTCAACTCTACACGTTGAAATATGCCTTTATTTTCTTCATCTTTTTGTAGGTTTTTGCCACAGAGTGTGTGCAGTCACCCAAGAGAGAAAGACAGGGAGAGGGAAAGTGAGAAATGACTGGACCGTGTGTGTGTGTGTGTGTGTGTGTGTGTGTGTGTGTGTAGGAGGGGAGGTCACTGCACCTTCTGAAGAGGAAAGCTTGCTGGTGTGTTCTGCGTCCAGCAGAGGGAGCTGACAAGGGCTGCAGAAGACTCCTGAATGGAGGCCTGACCTGTGGCCCAGGACTGCACCTGTGCTTTCTCAGACCTCCCTGGGTAGTTTCTGCCTTGATTCTAGAACTTTCTTGTTAACTTTCCTATTCCATTAGGTCTTTTGTTTACAGATACTGTTGTGGGTGCAAGACCAAATACGTATGATGGGATGACCCTATGAGTATCTAAAGAGGAGAAAGCGAGGGCTATATTGCACATAAAGAGAAGAAAGAAGAATGTGACTGATCTATACTCATGGACTGCAAAGGAGGGCATGGTATCTTCTGGAACTGCTGCATCGAATTACAAAAGAGAATGACTCTCCTAGCTCTGCAGGTGAGAGTCTATAATCAGGGTGTCAGCGGGTCTTGCTTTCTCCGAAGGGTCTAGGGAAACTTCTCTAGCTTCCAGTAACTGCGGGCAGTTCTTGGCATTTCTCGGTGTGAGGCTACACAACCCCATGCTCTGCCGCTGTCTTCCCAGGGCCATCCTCCCTGGGAAGTGTTTCTGTGCCTCCTTATCTGATGAAGACAACAGTGAGGCTGGATTTAGGGTCCACTCCAATCTAGTAAAACTTCATTTTAACTACAGACATCGGCAAACATGCCACTCCTGTACAAAGTCACACTCACAGACACTAGAGTTAGGGCTTCGGGGTATTTTGGGAGGTCCACAACGGCACTCACAGCAGAGGACAATGGGGGTCAGAGGATACCTGATCAATGGAGGGGCCCCCGCACCCCCGCCTGCCGAGCTGAAGTTGTAAGCAGGTCAAATGAGTTTAGGAGTAACAGGAAGTATTCAGATAAGAGAGGCTCTCACTTAGGATACTCTCTCCATCTGTGCTTATGGCCCTGATTTTTTTTTCTGTTAGAGGTTTAAAAAAATATTGTATAAATAAAGAGAATAAGAAAATAGCACTCCTCTGACTCACACATCGGGCAGAGCTGCAGACTCTTGTGATAATCAAGAGACTTCACAGAAGTGTTGATGCTTGAGCCTGATCTCAAAGTATGCGGATAAAATGCAAAGATAGGGGAGCCGGCAGAAGAAAGCGAGCGCTTCCATCTCGAGAGAAAGCACATGCAAAAGCACAGTGTTATTTTGGTGATACACCCTTTGCCTCCTCAGGGAGGTGGAAAATCTTTAAAGGCAACGCCCACACGGTCTACTTAATCTGAATTACTGAGACCCAGTATTTTAAAACATGAAGGGACAGAATTGTTTCCACTTTGGAGCTGGCCCTGTTGCCCAGTGGTTGAAGGAGCAGGATCCCGCATGACTGACCGCAGTTTGAATCTTGGCCCCAGCAGCTTGAAGAACATGCCAAACACATGTGTGTTCATGTTACAGATCCCAACATGATGGAGAAATGGAGGAGAGGGGGTTGCTGGGGTGGGGGTGCTTTCTCCCTCTCCCTCTTTCTGTCTGTCTCTCTCTTATGACTGCACATGCCTTCTGGCAATTAAAAAAAGTTGCTGCTTTGAATAAACACACCAACACACGATAACCTGGAAGAACACGGGGAACGTATACCAGGAGGAGTTAATTATAGGGCACATTTTCCAGAGCACAAAGATGGAAACCCCGTCCTCAGCCAGATCTGGAGAAATCAAAGGGCTGAATGTGGTATAAATTCCTCTGCCCTGATTGCATAAGGAGTGCTGCCAACATTTTTCCCTCTGATATATTCCTTTCTGCACCAAGGGCCAAACTGGTTCTTAAAAACCTGATCATGAACCGCGATATGCAATTCTGAATCACCACCCCATGTAGGAAAATTAACTCCTCGCTGATCTTCCCAGATAAGCAGCCAAGCTGGTTGCCTCTGAGCTCTGTTAGGGTCTGACTAGGTTTTGGCCATAGAACAACTCCCCTTTTTTGGCATAAGAATGTACAGGATGCCAGCAAAGTTCACACTGGGTCATCTAAATCTCTTTAAAGGCTTGATGATTCATTGCTGGGGGTTGGGGAGAGAGGGTAGTGAGGGGGAAGGAAGTGTTGAACACAGGGGTGGAGCAACGTAATTATGAAATTGACTGCAGGGAAAGCTAGCCCAGGGAGCTGGAGGGGTCACATGCTCCTATTAGTATTTAAACTAGAGCTTTTAAATTGGGGGGGGGGGTGCAGATCATATAATTTGATTGGCTTTCAGAGGAGACTTGTCAAATGCTTTCCATATTTATTCTGGTTACGATGCACTAATTTCTCTTAATATCTGACAACGGAGAACAGCTCTCTGGTGACAGTACTGTTAGCAGAATAAAAATTTGGCTCTGGTGGTATGAGTGAATAATTTGTCTTCTTCTACTTGATTTACTCGCATTTCAGCTGACAGGGTCTTCCATTCTGTGCATTCATTTTGTACTTAAAAAGGGATTGTTTGTAATTTACAGTTTAAGTCTGAGAGCTATTATTCTCCTCTGTCAGAAAGCATCTGTGGCAGGAGCCCTGTCTCCTCTCTAAGCTCAGACACAAAGCAAACCCCTACCTTCAGCCACCCGTCTTGAGAGCTTTCCAAAGTCTCCTAGCAGTTAAACTTTGTAGAGGCCTGACCTGAAAGGGTTTTGCAAATATCAAACTGCCTGACAACCGTGCTGAAATCTTGACACGGGCAGTTTCCGTGGCGAACTCTAGTTATTTATGTCAAAAAAGCAAAGTTTGCCCAAGCATTTTTCTCTAACTCTTCCTCTTTGGGGTAAACTTGGTAAATTACTCATAAAATGATTTTCTTAAACTCTGACCCTCACTCAAATCAGCTTCTCCTGGCCAATATTGACTCAAGAAAAATAAAGTAACTAAGAGAGCATGTAGTCTTGTATTTTAATGTCATAAAGTTAAAACAACCAGGGACTTTGACTTCACAACTTCTACAAAATATCGACGCTGATTTCTGTGGCCTTTGGTGTCCATGATCTTCTGTGGAAGATACCCTGAGCTTAACCTGTCTACCCCACCAACTGCCACTACTTTAAGTTCAAAAAATGGTGGCTTTTGGCTTTCAGTTTTAATTCGGGAATGTTTTTCTTTTGAGGAAACCAAAGGCCGAGTTGTTAATGAAATGCTTTTAATGGATGTTCACATGCTCCAGGCCAATACCAAGCAAAGTTCAGCTCATTCTAAGCCTTAAAATGTCTATGTTCTTTTCATGTAAAAAGAGGTGGGTTCTTCAGATGGTTAAGACGGTAAATTATGATATTTCATAGGCCATTGCCTTACCTTCAATCTTGGCCAGAGCGGCCCTGATGAAAACTTATTTGGGTCTTGCCAAAAAAAACCCCCAAAAAAAACAAACAAAAAAAACAAACAAAAAAAACAATAATGATTAAAAATCAGTTCATTTTCTTTCAAAGCATCCTATTACCAAGATTTTTTTGTTTTATTTGTAAAGCAGCTTTCCATTGGGTGGCCTTGATGTGTTCTTGAATTTAGCAGCAAATTATGTCATTTTCATTGTCAATGTCCAAAGCCATCCATCACTATAAGGTACCAGCCTCAAATTATCTGGGTGCAGGGAGCAAAACCAGATGCAACTCTAGAATGTCTGTGATTTCTGAAACAGAGAATAGGTTTCCCATCAGCCTTCCAAGGTGGCAAACTACCAGGGGCCCACTCTACACCCTCACCCCCAAAAAAGGTGTCGTCACAAATGAGCCTGACAAATTCGTGTTTGGCAGTTCCCTACCAGAGGTGCCAGTGAGATTATGTGCTCACGCCATTTTCCTCTCAGGATTGTTAGACAGGGAATGAAGTCTACGTCCACAGTGCGAGGGGAATACCCCAGGAAGGCAGGAACATAACTGACTTATCTGCTGCTACACCATCGCCGAGAGCCACACTAGTTCTGAAGTCTCCAGCCATGGGTTCTTAGAAAAAATGCCTGTGCTTCCCAGCCTGTTATCAACATAGGTGCTATTCATTAGAAACATGTTAAAGAGCTATTCCACATAGGTAGTCGCCACATTAAGTAAAGCTATCTAGGGGACCAGCAGATGGCATAATGTTTACATTGCTGGCTTGGCCAACCACAGTTCAAGTATTGGATCTGGTGGCTTACTTTTCTTTTCCTCTCTTGCTCCTCTCTCTCTCTCTCTCTCTCTCTCTCTCTTACTCTGTCCCTCTCTGGTCAAATTCAAATAAATAAATTAAGGAACTAATTTAATTAAATAATTCTAAAAAGAAAAGAAAAAGAACTATATTTCATTAAACCCAATGTATGCTGAATATTTTCATTTTTTTAGAATTATTTAATTTAATTTATTATTATTATTGTTATTTAATTTGACCAGAGAGAGACAGAGGCAGAGAAGAAGAAGGAAAGTGAGAAAGTCAGATCAGGGACTCAAACCATGGTCAGCCATGTGGGAGTCCAGCGCCCTAACCACCACACCACCCGCCGGTCCCATCACTTTCTTTTATTTTTTCACTTGCCAGAGGGTGCATGCACTTGCCAGAGAGAGACAGAGAGAGGGAGAAAACATGCCCCCCACATTCCCAGTCATGGTCATTCCAAATCCTTTCTCTTCATTTTCCAACCTGTTGAGAATTGGGGTGTGCATGCACACCTACCTAGGGGTTAGCCATATGGGACCTAGTTCCCTTAGCCACTAGGCTATGGGGCCTCTGAATATTCTCTTTTGAACATTTAATCAATGTGAAATTTAAGATTTGAGGCCAGCTGGTGGCATGGTGGTGAAGGCAGCTGGATCTCACATAGTCAACTGCCAAGCTTGAGCCCCAGAGCAGCAGTCTGAAAGAAACATCAGGTGTGTGTGCATGCCGGCCCCAAATCCCAAGAGGAAAATGGAAGAGAAAGGACTGCAACATGGCCATACTCCGGGGGGGAGGGGGTGATTTCCTATTTTCTTTCTCTCTGGTGAGTACATGCACCCTATAGCAAAAAATAAGTTCACACATACATACACACACACACACACACACACACACACACACACTTTTTAAAAACTGAGTCTTTAAAATTAGAAGTATATTTTCTGCTTACAGCACATGTCAGTTTGGACCAACCACAGTTCCAGCGCTTGATAGCCATGTGAGACAGGGTGGAGCCAGTCTGAGTACTCATTTCTGTTTTCAGGCGTAGACAGTTTTATCTGAAATAGTCAAATGTGAGTACTGTTAAGTCATAAAGTGTTGGGAAAGAAAAGTGCATTTAATTAACAAAAAAATGAGAAGCTATTTGCTGCTGCTGATGTGTATAGTAATGTCTTTGTCTTGACTGATATGCATGGTAATCATGCTGAAAAAAAATGTTCTATAGAGTAAAGATATATGTGATTAAAGGTAATATAAAAATAAATAAAAATAAAATTAAAAAAAGGAAGATAAAAAAATATGAAGTGCTTAGAAGATGTTTAAATACAAAGATCTTAATGCTGCTCTTGAGCCAGCCCTGTAGCTTAGTGGTTAAAGGAGCTGGATCTTGTATGAACAGGATGCAAGTCCTGGCCCCTGTGGTTTGAAAAACATGTGGGACACATGTGCATGTGAGGCCCCAATACCAATAGGCTAAGATATGGAGGAGAAGGGATTGCAGTGTGACCATGCCCCGTCGGGGAGTGCTTTGTTCCACTCTCTTTCTGTCTCTCTCGTGTGAGCCCACACACTGGTGTTTATAATAATAATAAAAATCCACTGTTCGTTATTGGTGATGTCATTTTCATTACTGGGCAGCTGTTTTTGCAGCAGTTTGGTGGAGGTCAAGAAAGAAGATTCAGGAACAGGGCCTTTAAAACACTCCCTCTGGGGGCCAGGAGGTAGCATGGTAGTTAAAGCTCTGGACTCCCTTGGACTGATCATAGGTTAGAGTCCTGGACCCAGTAGCTTGAAAAATCACTCCGAGCTTGTGTGTAACTGTGGTGTGGCCATCCCGCCCGAGGGGTGATTTCTCACTTTCCCTCTCTCTGCCTCTCTCCGGAGAGTGCACACACCCTAAGGCAAAAACTTTAAAAAAAAAAAAAAAAAAAAAGGAAAGTAAAAAGAAGAAAGGAATCTCTCTGCTCTGTGTAGAACCCAGTAACTTTACTTTGGGTGTGGTGAGCTGACTCACAGTCTATTGTATGAGTGGCTTTTACTTTTGTTTTTAGTTTATTTGACTTTTCTGGTCTCTCGGCTTTATTTGAGATGGCAGCATCAAGGAAGTCTCTTTGTTTTGCAAGCACACTCTGAGTTTCTCAGCTTTTTAAATGGCATATGTAAGATTACACCCACCTTCTAATAGCCTCGTAAAGGTCTGTCAGTGTTTTTATTAAAAATGCAAACTTCCCAGGATTCACCACACAGCCATAACAAATTGTTCCAAGCGGAAACTTGGCAAACCCTTCCTTAGTATGGGAGGAAATCATTTTTAACCATTACAAATAAATAAATAATAAACAAATAAGTACTTATCACTTCAACTCACTCACGTGAGTTTTCCATAGGGAAGACAGCCGATACAATGCCCAGAACACCTTTACGTTGGGTTTGTCTTACGAGTTTGAAATGGTAACATCAGCTGGTAAGTATGATTCTGCGCCAGTTAAGCTATCACTCTCCCTACCTCAGGTGGTCAGTGAGCCTAGAGTTTGAGTCCCCTGTTGGGAGCCTGAGTGACACAATGAGTTTGAGACGCGCTGGATCAATCAACTCTGACACGCCATTTCAATGACATATGTAGAGTGACGTCATGGCAAACGTGATGTTCGATGATCAACATTCCATGTTCCCATGGCAAGATTCGTTCTGCTCTCAACTCTTTCCAGACTGAGATTCCTGGGCCTCGTTACTGTGTGACAAATACTGGCGACTAAAAGATGCATACCTGAAAACCAGCTTGAGAATCAAGACAGTATTCTTAACTTCCCACTTAAATATTCACTTAGTAGATACTGACTATTTATTGTAGTAATTTTGAGATACCTTTAAACTGTGAAACGAGATCTTTAGCCTCTGTAATTCCTTTCACTTATGAGCACCTCAAGGGGTTATTGGAACTATTAGATTAATAGATGACCTAATGTTATGAAAGCATGAGTTGACTTCACAATTTTTTTTTTTTTCATAAGGGATGTGCTTGCCAGAGAAACAGAGAAGGAGAGGGAGGGGGAAAGCATCTCCTGCCTCCCCCCCAATAGCGAATGGGGTGTGGTCACACCTCAGTTCTTTCTCTTTCATGTCTCCATCTTGTCTAGATTTGGGCACGCACACAAGACTGGTGTGTTTATCAAACCACTCTAAGTCCAGTCAGCCATGGGGATCTGGCTCGCTTAACCACTAGGCCACAGGGCTGGTCCCTCCATAACAGGTTTGAGGCTTGGCTTTTATTTCACACATGCCTGGGGAGTTGGTGAGGAGGCAGTGCAGGAGGGCTATGAAAAGAATGACATGCCGCATAGATATATAACATTCTCTGTATAATGGCTTTTTGTCCACGACAGATTGCGTATGTGAAAGTGGCCTATGGAATTTTATAATAGAGCTGAAAAACTCTTTCAGCTTAGAGATCTGCTCGCTGCAGTAACGTCTGAGCTCCGCGCACCACTCGTGTGCTATGGTGATGCAGACTGAGGGACATACTGGCCCTTCACGTGGTGTTCCAGGAGAAAACATAGTTTTCATAGTCGACAGCCCTACAGTTATTGCCCCAGAGACCTTCCAGTGGGATGAGACGTGGTGAAGAAAGATAGTAATGACAATCCTGACCCTGTACAGACATAGGCTCATGTGTGTTTTTATGTCTTCATTTTTAACAAAAGTATGTTGACCAAAAGTTTAAAAAGAAAAAAAGAAAAAACAATAGAAAAAAGCTTCTAGAATAAGGATATTAAAAGGGAAAGTAGAGGGCCAGCCTGATGGGTAAGGCTCTGGATTCTCACGTGGCTGATCGTGGTTGAAACCCCAGATCTAGCAGCTTGAAAATCACCCTGGGAGCGTGCGTGTGGGCTTAAAATCCCGAGAAGAGAATGGAGAAGGGACTGTGGCGCGGCCATCCCCATGGGGGCGGGGGGTGAGTTCTCACTTTCTCTCTCTGTGTCTCTCGCTGGTGAGTGCATGTTCCCTATGACAACGAACCTAAAAGAATTTTAAAAAAATCAAAGAAAATATTGTTAGACAGTCATGCATTGTGTTTGTGTTCTAAGCTAAGTGTTAGTACAAAGGAGTCAAAAAGTTTTTAAAAAGTGGCCAAGTTTAGACAGTAAAAAGTGACAGTAAGTTGAGGTTAATTGATTATTATTGGATCATCAGAAAAGTCATGATGTATCATTCTGGTTTTCTATGCAAAAATGCATCATGACTTTTCCAACAAACCAATAGAAGAAAAAATAGTTTTTTATAAAGCCAATGTATCCGAAGTGTTCAGTTTTTATTGCTATTGTTTTGGTTTTTTTTTTTTTTGGTTATTGTTGTTTTTATTATAGGATATGTGCACTTGCCAGAAACAAAGTGAGAAAACGTCCCTTACGCAGGGGTCGGTTGTGGAAGCTAAGGTGCTAGAATCCCACATGGCTTACTCCCGGGTTCTAATTCTAGGCCTGCGGCTCGAAAAATTTGCTGGGCGCAAGTGCACACATGCCCAAGATCCTGAGAAGAAAAAGGAGGAGAAAGAGCGCAGAATGCAATGTTTATAAAGTCTGCAGTAGTAGACAGTAACGGGCCTTCCCATTCACTGGCCACTCACTCACCTCACCCAGAACAACTTCCTGTTCTGCCAGCTCCATTCATGCCAGTGCCCCACACAGGTGAATCATTTTCAGTTTTTTATGCTCTTTTTACTGTACCTTTTCTATGTTTTGAAACAAGTACTTACCACTGTGTTACAGGTGCCTACAGTATTCACTAGAGAAACACGATTTACTGGTTTGTAGCCTCTACCATATAGCCCAGGGGTGTAGCAGACCATACTGTGCAGGTTTGTGTAAGCACACACTGAAGTTCACACAGTGATGAAATCGCCTACAGCCGCATTGATTCCTTAGAAGGTATTCCTGTCCTTAGGTGACAGGGGCTGTAATTGAAATGTAAATTGCCCAGTCACTGGAGAAGTAAACTTGTGAAATGCGTGCATACGTTAACAAGTATGTTTGATGCTGAATAAAATCGATTTAGCTGGTATAGTGTTGGGAGAACCAATTCTGGTTTTCGGTCGACAGGAGTAAGTATTACAATACTTACACCTTATTTCATATTGTGTTATCTTCATTTTCAACAGGAGAAAAGTCAAGTCATCTTTTCTAAATATGACATTTTTCCCCCTTTTTAAAATGTTTGCTCTAGGGCATATGTGCTCACAGGAAAGAGACAGATAGAGGGAAAGTGAGAAATCACCCCACTCCCAGGAGGAATGGCCATGCCATAATCCTTGCTCCATTCTCCTCTCAGGATTTGGGGCACGCACGCACACAGGTCCGGCATTATTTTCAAGCCACTGGATCTGGGACTCAAGCCATGGCCATCAGCCATGTGGAATCCAGATGCTTTATACTCCATACCACCTGCTGGTTCCCAACTATAACTTTTGAGGCTCACTTTCTTTTCAGAATTCCAGCCTCAAACTCTTAACTAAGCATACATTTATTTCAGTGAAATTCCACTGTGTTCAATTATTGAGTTGCCATATTCTGGTCCGGCATTTGTGTATGCTTCTTCATCTCGTGTTGTTGTGTCTTGTTTTCAATGGCTACCTCCAATGAAAACATGCATTCCTCTTTCAAATCGGTCCTGACTTGGAAGGCCTTGCCTTGGTTTCATTAAGCACTCTTGTGCTCCCTCTGCTGCTGCAAGGAAAACATTCACATTCAAAACACCAGCACATTCTCAGCGGTGTGTCCTTCCTGGCAAGGAGGATAGTGATGCAGATTTGCACCTAAGTCAAGATGCTTCTGAAATGCAGCATTATTTGCTCAAAGTGTACAAGTTGGTAATTTTTGTTAAAAAAACACAAACTAATAAAAAGCATAAATTAATCAATAAAAAGGAGTAAATTAAAGAATTAAGCTTTGCACCTATGGCCAAAGGTGCAATGGAGCCCCTGTAGCAAAGACCAGAGTTCACATCTTCATATGTTGAGGAGTCTCCCAGGGGCTGGGTCAAACACACATTCTCAGTAGGTGGGGAGTGCAGCCCTTGCTTCTAAATGTTTAAAAACCTCCAGACGCTGCTGCTGCTGCTGCTACTTTGAGGATAAGTGCAGGTGTAATATAACCACATGATAGACTTGCTTAATCATTTTAAACCTTCAAAAGTAGATACTGGCAAAACAGTACAATAGATATAAAGGACTCGAATGATTTTTTTTCCGTCAAATTTAAGCAATCCTGAACATAGGCTAGAAGGAAGTCTCACCAGGACACATTTCTCACTTTCCTTTAATTTCCAAGGTAGACTTATGCTTGTCTAATATCAGGTTTATAAGTAGGATTATCATGCCACATATTTGCCTGGGGCTTTTTGAAAGCTCCACTTTTTTTTTTAATCAAGTTTTTATTTGCATGAGAAATTCCTCGTTTTTAAAGAATCAGTGCCTATTGTGATTGTAAATTTAAAACGTTGCCATCTGAAGGCATTCTGTCCCTGTCCTACAGGTAATGGAACGACTATGTGCATATTATGTCTGTGTTGGACTGCAGAAAGAAATAGCAACAGATTTTAACTACAGTTTGTGGCTTTCATCTCAATGGTTAAGAACGCAAATGACACATTTCTTATTAATTGTTTTTATTATTTGGGAAACATGCGTATTTAGCTTCCTTGAGGGAACATTTAAATTAATCGACTAGCTCTAATCTGAATTATGTGTTTTAATTTGCTCAAGGTTGTTAAAATAACATAAATTAACTGCCTGTGAAAGCGTAATAATTACAATATTAGCTTTTTTTTTAAAAGAAAATTCTCTAAATGTAAGATGTCTAAAAATAGAGTAGAGGTGGATTGGACAGTTTGCAGATTATGAGTTGGAATAAAAACATCCCCGTTAAGCCAAAAACATGGCAACCAATATTTTCTGTTATAAAAATATTTTAGATGAATTTAGGTTTTTTTTATGAAAGCTGTCTGAAACTGAACTGAATAGCAGAAGCTCTCTGTTTAATCACAGGCCAGTAATAATAATACCTGCAGCACGAAACATACGTCTTTTCCACCAGAGCCATAAGCCTCCGCTCCTTCCAGAAGTCGACTCTGCCAAGTTGGGTGGAAGCGACATTACCCGGTTACGGGCTGAAATATTAACCTTCACCTTGGTAAAGCTTGTCCACGAAAATAAAACCAGGCAGAGCCTTTTCAAGAAACTGTCCACTAGAGGCTGTAGTGAGACCAACAATGTCACTTCAGACTAACCCGAGGTTTACACCATAACAACCATTGATTTTTAACTGGAAAAAAAAAGTTGTAGAAACGAGTAAGCGTGCAGACTGAAGGTTCTATTTAAATAACTACGTCTATGTTCGCGGTATCGCACAGCGTAGGGACAAAATGTGCCCGGGGCTCCGCACCTTCCTCGTTAGCATGCTTAATTTTATTTCTGTAGCACGTCCGCTCTACGACACTGCAGTTTAAAAGCTGGCACATTCCTGTCGGTGACTCTGTATCCTGCTGGTGACTAACCGTTAGGTCATAAGTAAACGCAGCCAAAAGGGCTCGCAAACACAGCTTATAGTCAATAGTGGTGACTTCCAGAGAGACAGTGACGCGGAGGGATCGTGTTTCTCCACACTGAGTCCCAAGCACCTGAAGGAGGTCAAACGCTGCCCCGACACCTACTGGCCTTCCAGAATGATCTGCAGCAAGGAGAACGCCGCACTGGGCTCCCTTGGTATGGACCAGCCTCCCCTTCCTCCGCGGGCCACACCGACGGGCAGGGCGCGCCCCTGCAAAGAAGATGCCTTGGCACGGAGCGCACACCTGCCGGCCGTGCAGGCGGAGGGGGCGGGGGCGGAGGCCAGAAGGAGAAACTGAGTCCGGGGCAAAGTTCCTCGGCACGGATGCACGCGAACTGCCCTCGGATGCCCCGTCGGCCTCCTCCGTCTCCTACATGCGTTACCTCATTTCCGACCAAATCAATGATCCCGAATTAGTTGCGGGTCGTCTCTGCAGACTAGCGCTCGAGTTCAGTACTCGAAGCAGCTCCCCGGACCTGAAACGAGAAGGAAGGGAGGGCCGGGAGGTCGCCAGCTTCCGCAGGCAGGGAAGGTGAGGCGCGCGGGAAGGCGGGAGGGGGCGGTGAAACTTTGCCGAGTTGCGCGCGGAGGAGTCCCGCGGCCCCCGGGGCTGGGTTCCCGCGCGCCGGCGCGACCCGGGCGGAGGGCGGACGCGCAGCGGCGGGCTGAGCTCCGATAGACGCTTCGCCGAGCGCCGGGGACCAAGGGCACGTCGGGATTAGATTGGCCGACCTCCCCACCCCCTTGGGCATTTCATTGGCTCCCAGCTGAAGTCTGACACCCCCTGGAGGAGTCTCCCAGGTTGCCTGAGTTGCACCCCGCGGTCTCGGCGTCCCCTCGGAGTAGGTGCAGGGACCCGGGGAGGCGCGCGAGGACCGACCGGTCACCGCTCCAATGACCTCATCGCCTTAGCTCCCCGCCCCTTTCCCAAACCTGGAAGGAACCGTTCCCTCCGGCCCGGGTCTCCCCTCCCGCCCCCGGAGCCCGAGCCACCCTCTGGAAAACGCGCCCGCGTCGCCGGGGGCTGC